GTTAACAAGAGGTTGATAGATCAGTTCAGCTTCCTCATCAGTGGAGGGACCCACTCCCGGGACTCAAGCCCATTATTCAGTAACAGGACAAATGGGCACAGCTTAGCCCTGTGGGGGTCATTCTCCACAAATAGTCAGAATATAACCTTAGAGTTGGTTGGTATCAAAGTCTAGAGCAGACATACTGAAAGAAGGGTTAGAATATAGAACTCCACTGCTCAGTGGGTCTGGCTAATTGGAGAATGCTAACAGAGCTCTGGTAATGAAGGGGAGGGGAGCAGTTCAGGCAGGAAGTGACCCCTAGGCTGGGGTCCAAGAGTCTGGTCTCTGCACCCCACCCTGCTTCCTATATGGGCCTTAGCCTCTCCTACCTGGGAAATGAGGCCCCGGAGATGACTTGGCTCAGTGGTTTCCATTTTGGTCAATCATGTTCTTAACCTGCAACCAGTTCTGTCCCAGGCTGAGTATGATGCTCTTGAGAGCCCATCAGAAGCTTTCAGAAAGGTCACGTCAGAAGACATACTGAAGATGATCGAAGAGAACAGGTGGGCAGGGGGAGCATCTGTGAGTCAGGATGGGAAAGAGGAGTCGGACACAGAGACAGACCTTGCTGATGGCACTCTGAGTCAGTGGGGAGGTGTCTGCTCAGCTGTGGGATGGAGGAGCGACCTTTGACACTAGGCTTTCAGGCTGTGGGCAGATTCAAGGAAGAGGATTGGCTCGTGTGTAGAGCCTACAGCTGGAGAGATGGTGGCAGGGTCCTGCAATCCAGGGCCTGGCACCAAAGCTAGCTCCAGACCCCACTGTTGTGTTGATGCTGATTATCACTGGCAATGCCCAAAGGCTGGCGCCTGGCATTGGCATGGGTGCCAATCACAGTGACAGCTGTGACAGCATGCTCGGAAACGTTTCTAGAATTAAATATGCATATTCTAAATATTGTACATTTAGTTTAAGTAACAGAGATTAACCCGACTAAAACAACTTTTTTAAAAAGATGATGGTTAGATTATTTCTTAGTCGTGAGCCTTTTCTACTAATTATTCCTTTCTTCTGGTTTATAAGATTGTGCATGTTTATATGTATCTGATGTGGGCATGGGTGCCAAGAGGAGACGTCGTTGCATCTGCTAGATCTGTAGTTACAGCAGTGAGCGCTGTCAAAGAAACCAGGTCCTCTGCAAGAGCAGTGAGAGCCAGCGCTCTTTTCAATCTTAGATTGTGTGTGTGGGGTGCGTGTACATGCGGAGGTCTGAGGTTGGTCTTAGGAATTATCCTCCACTGTTGCTCTACCTTGTCTGTCAGTCAAAACCTGTGAACCCTGCTGGGGCTAGTCTCCCTAGCAGCTTGCTCAAGAGTATGTGGAGGGCACGGGGACAATGTGCTGGTGGTGCCTCCTCACAGCCTGCTTTTCCCTCATGTGCAGCTGTTTCCCTTCCTTGTTTCAGACACTGTTCCTTCGTCATAGAAATGCTGAAGTCTTTACCATCAAACGAGGAGAGTCGAGACCGGCAAGCCCGAAGCATCTGGTTTCTAGATGCCCTCATCAGATTTCGAGCTCAGAAAGTAATAAAGGGAAAAAGTAAGCCCCCGCAGGCATTTTATCCTGCTTATTTCCAGAGGTTACTTGTCCGTGGTTCTCACGTCACCCCCATGGATGTCTGTCCAGGCCCTCTCTGTGCAGCCTGCCCTTCCTCCTGACCCCGCTGCCTGCCTGAGCCTCGCAGGGCTCGCCTTTCTTTGTGCTTTTTTCTTCTGTTCTAGAAATGGGGACAGGGTTGGATGGGGCTTCCAGAGAGCACACACACTGCTTCTGTTTTGTTGGGTAAAACACAGTATCCAGGTCAAATGAGATGAGTAATTTAAGCGAGGCTGTTAGAACAGACCTCAGTTAAGGAGGAGGAACCAGAAGAGGAAGCTTGGGGCAGGCTGTTTTGTCTAAGGCAGGCTCACTGTGCAGCCCTGGTTGGCCTGGAACTCGCTGTGCGGTTCAGGCTGACTTGGGACTCACAGACATGCACTTGCCTCTGCCTTCTGAGTGCTGAGATGGGAGCTGGGAGCCACCATGCTTGGTATTTTCTTTCTTTTTTCGGGTGTGGGGAGTTGTGACAGTTTATTTCACACTGAGTCAGTTTGTAATGTTTAAAATTCCAGCTCCACTTGTTTCTAGAACCGTATGTGGTGGTCACATACTCATACCCACCCCAAGTTGGAAAGCCAGCAGGAGACGCATGGGGTGTGTCTGTTCGCTGCCACTGTGAAAGGCACCAAGGAGGGAGGTGTGCCTCTCCTTAACTCTCATTTCCAGTCTCCTGCCTTCCACCCTCGATTTACTTAAGTGTGTGGGGTACACGCCTAAGTGTATCTAAGGTCGGATGACAATTTTGGAATCATTTCTTTCTCTATATCCATGTGAATCTTGGGGATGGGATCTGGTGGGACATCTTTATCCACTGAAACGTCTCACTGGCTCCATCTGCAATCTCTTTACTTCCCAGTATCTTGCTGTGTGTTCTCAGTCCTCATCAGTCGGTTTTTTTCTGTCTTTTCATGCCCGCTTCACAAACACCTCTTGTGTGTGTCTGACCTGAAAGTGGCTGATTTGGATCTTGGGGCCCTGTTTCTCTGTGGTCTGGTCATTACAGCCCCCGCCCACCCACTTGTGGATGTGTGGCCTATGGGCTTTCCAGGAAAATGACCCAGTGCAACTTTGTGTTCTAGGCGCCCTAGGACCTGGGATCCCCCATATCATCAACAGCAAGCTGCTGAAGCAGTTCACCTGCTTGACTTACAACAATGGCAGGTCAGGGTCTGGCTCTACAAAGAAGAAAGCAGATGGGGGTGGCAGGGAAGGGCGGGGGCTCGGGTGCAGTTCCGTGTCCAGAGGTCCATGTAGGTCATACACCGTCCCCTTGGGAGTGTGCATTTGTGTCTGGCTGTGGGGCACCCCGCAGTGACGCTTACTGATGACTACAGTGCTATAGAAAAGAGCAGCCAGCATGGTGACCTAGAAATTCCAGGAGCATCCTGGCTTCGTTTGATGGGGCTGTGTTTTCTGCTCCCGATTGTGCTTGGAAACAGCAGGGGCAGCACTGGGCTTGGGGTGGTTTTCCTGCAGGCTGCAGAACAGACAGTAACAGCCTCATACAGAGGACTTTCATGAGTGTGATGCTACGGCACCACCTAGGGCAAGTGTGGGCAGGGCTTTCTCTGTCTCTTAGGGGAAACATGGTTGACTCAATGGTCACTGTGAGACTTGGGCACTTTGGAAAGAACAGGTCATATGGCTTGATGCTCCCGCTCCCCAAACTGGGAACATGACTGTAGAGGACCAGGCGCTGGTGTTCTTATTGAGCACTTGGAACTTAACTTCATTTCTCCTTTATTGCCACTGACTCTGCAGTCTACGGAACTTAATTTCAAGTTCTATGAAGGCCAAGATCACTGCGTATGCGATCATACTCGCGTTGCACATAAATAACTTCCAGATTGACCTGACACTGTTGCAGGGAGACTTGAAACTCAGCGAGAAAAGGTGAGCATAGTAGAATAATGCTGGGCCCTGCAGCCACCTGGGTGGATTCCCACTCCTGCCCAGAGCATGAGACCCTGCTGACACTGGTGTCTCGTAGAAAAAATCTCAGTTTTCAATGAATGAATGAGTGATTGGTGAGTGCCTTCTCTCTGCAAGGCATGACACTGAACTCATTCACAGGCCCTCATTGATTTCAAAAACAACAAGAATCTAAGATCGGGAGAAGTAATGACTTTCAAGATCTCACTCCCAAAGAGTGTGCCTGGGCGTTAGGCCTGAGCCTCCCACGGCTCTCTGTTCTGAATAGCCCTGTGTGCTTTGAGTTGCTGTGACCGGGGAGGGTTCTCCGTGGGTCCGGGGGGGGGGGGGGGGGGGGCAGAGACCCAGCTGCATGGTCCAGAGCACAGCAGGCTTTGCTCCTGTCAGACGGAGCGTCGTACCCTCCATTTGTGCTGATTGTCCCTTAGGATGATTGAGATCGCAAAAGCCATGAGGCTGAGCGTCTCCAAAAGAAAGGTGACTCTGGCAGACGGCAGAGAAGAGGATCACAGACTGGGCACTCTGTCTGTCCCCCTGCCTCCGCCCCAGACCTCGGATCGCCAGTCAAAGCGGAAGAAGATGACCTAGAAGTTCTCCAGATGGGTTGTTCTGGTCCTATCACAGCCGCTTCTGCGCACTCCCACTTGTGCTGTGGAAAGGGAGGCAGACTGGAAGCTGTGCTATTTACCCATAACCCAAGTACTCAGGAGACGGAGGCAGGAGGATTGTGGTTCCTGGACCTGCCTAGGACTGCTGCACTCCACCCCCAGGCCTTACTTGAGCATGGTTTTCGTGCCTGAAGCATCCCTGGTGTGCCTCTCATGCAGAAATTAAAGCGATGGTCCAGGTTTGAGTCCATCTCCTTCCTTTGGTGTTCTGTGGTTACAAACAGCAGATGTTTCTCCTGCTGGTTCTGTGCAGGGTTTGGGAGGGTAGGGGAAGTTCAGGTCAAAGGATCACATCAGGCTAAACTTTGAGCTTAAAGGATGAAGGTTTATAAGGAGGACCTAGACAGGCCCTGCAGTAGGAGAGAGGACCGAGCAGAGCGGGGCTGAGGAGGCTCCCAGCCCTAAGGTTGGCAGTGGATCTAAATAAACAACCTCCTACAGCACAGCAGAGCCAAATCAGGAAGGGATAACCACGGCCTTTCTTCCTCCGAAACCCTTTGCTCACCAGGTGACCACATGGAGGTAGAGTCACCGTTTGTCTTCAGAATGGCCCTGGGTAGGGCTGGAGTTACTATTATTGAATGATATAGAGGTCCTGAGATACAGCCCTTCGGCTTTGAACTCTGAGCCATGGTGGGAACAAGCTGACAGGATGGAGTCCCACGTTCTGCAGTCTCAATGGCACCTCAGGGGAGGTCTGCTGGTCACTTGGAACGCCAGCAAATGTGTGGACCAAGTTAAGACCCCGGAAGCACATCCTTTAAAATATATAGAACTTTATTTTGGTTATTGAGATTTTTGTAAGTACTTGGTTCACAGAAAAATCATTTCTTACAAAATACCAAAGGCAGCATTTTATACAGCGACTCACATCGGGGCCACCAAACAAGTGCAATGGACAGCACTACACATGGGAAAGACCAGTGTTCTTGTCCCAGAGTGCTTAGGGAGAGAGAAGTCACCCGCCCAACACAGCAGCACCTAGGGCTTCAGAGAACCAGCGTGGGATCTGGGCCAGTGCAGGACAGTGACCCCAAAGGCTGGTGAGGGCCCCGCAGTAAAGGCCAAGTGGCAAAGGGGTCATCAAGGCGCAGCTGGCCCTGCGTGCAGCCCCTTCCACGGTGGGGTCCAAGCCTGCCTGGCTCTCAAAGCTTTCACATTCACAGTACAGTCTAGTGAAGGCCTTCGGGAGCTTCTCATCACTGACTCAACCCTGGCTGGCTCTGGCTGGGACTGAAGGACACACAAAGGTGACTATCTTCAGAGTTCACGGGTAAAGGGGCAGGACAGGGTATGGACCCAGAAAGTGCTCAGTGCCCTGAGAGGGAGCAGGGTGGGGTGGGTAACACTATCACCTGGCGCAGGGGAGGGTCACGTGGCGATGGCAGTGTCCGAGCTAACCCTTGAGAAAGGGTGGGGTCTGCACATACGGGCATGACTGGGAGGGACATGCCAGGAAGAAGACGCGCGAGCCAAGGCACAGAGTGGGGATGTGGTAGGGCTGGTCAAGGCAGCCGGTCATCTGAGGGTATGGACACGCGGAGGACACCTCCGTCACACAGGCTGGAGCTCGCAGGGGCAGCTGGAATGTGTGTCCACACGATCGGAATCCCGGCAGGCGCTGAGCTAATGCTCTGAACTTGGGGGACTCCGTGAGGACGGTGGAGCTTTGTTCGTCCCCATTCGGCCCAGCCCAGCACCTGCCTGCACAGCTGAAGGCAGCCACCCGTCCCCTTATCTATAGCACGTCCCCTTCTCGTTCCTGGGGCAGCTTTCCAGGAGGAGCTCCTTCCCCTAATCCCCATCCTTGCTCACAGGGCCATGTGCCAGTCTAAGAACTGTCTGGTGAAAACACTGCCGCCCCAGAAGCAGCTGGGAGGTTGGTATAGACCCCGGGGGGGACCACGAGGGGCAGGTCCAGGAAAGGGGCAGTGTCTCCACCTCACCTCAGTTTCTTCCCTTGATCAAAGTACTCTCTTCCCTGAGAGGCGGCTAGGTTTGGTCTGTGTGGAGCGAGGTTCTCTGTAGCTCGGGATAATTGACCTACAAGCTACACGTGCTGTTTGAGCCCGCCCAGCTCTCCAGACCTCCAAGTGCTGGGGCCACTGGAAACATGCCCAATCGCTACTCCTTTTTCTCCTGGGGGGATGACTCCACGGTTCTTCCTGCTGAAGGCTGTGGAGCTAATGGGTTTTAGAGGTACCTTGATCTTAGTCCCCAGGAGGCCTAGGACCCTCTTTTCAGGAGTGGTGGTGTGTGGGACGGGGATGGAGCTGGGAGTCTTCCTAGGCATAACCTCCATCCAAGGTGTAGCCTCTCGTTCTGAGCACCCACCGGGGGCCTGGACCGGAGGCAGGTGTTCTTGCTTACAGGATGGTACAGAAGATGCTGCGGTTGCTGTGGTAACCACCTTCCACACGGGCTGTGATCCTGGTCGCCATGGCTGTCACCTTCTGCCCACCGTGGGCTGCAGAGGAGCCCCTGAGTGAGTTTTCAAGGTGAGGTCGTGCTGGTGGATTCACCAGGCGCCAAGTGTCAGACCTGAGGGTGCAGAGGGACAGCCAGTGAGCCCTGAGGCTGAGTGCCAGGCGGATGCCCGTGTCCACCTTTGGCTCCAGTTCTCTGCATCTCAGAGTTGAAACCTCAGTGTGGGTTTTATCTCCTAAGTCAGTGACAGCACAGCCAGGTGGAGTGAGAAACTAAGGGACAGATAGATCTCTGCTGTATTTCTGCACGGAATCTTGGTCACATTTCCTCTGCGGCCCTCAACTTCCCCAAGTTTCTGGATCTGAATATGAATCAGTGGATTTTATCTCTACCTCCCCCCTCCTACCCCAACACACCAGCTTTGTGAGCATGAATGGTACAAAAGCCTTATTTCTCATCACAAAAAACTGGAAACCACCTAAAGCCCTCAGGCGATGAGCAGGCAAACAAGCTGCCGCATCAGTGCGTAGAACCTACTAGACGTGAAAAGGAGTGAGTGAAGCAGGACACGGTGGCGCACTCTTCTAATCCCGCTACTCCAGCTAACCTGGTTACAGAGCTCCAGGACAGCCAGGGCTATAGAGACAAACAAGACAACAAAAGACCGACTTCCAGGAGATCCAACTTTCTTCTGGCCTCTGCAGACACCAGGCACACACATGAGGCAGACACACATGCGGCACTCAAATGTACACATAAAAACAACTATGGCTGGGCGGTGGTGGCGCACTCCTTTAATCCCAGCACTCGGGAGGCAGAGGCAGGCGGATCTCTGTGAGTTCGAGACCAGCCTGGTCTACAGAGTGAGTTCCAGGACAGGCTCCAAAACAAGACAGAGAAACCCTGCCTCGGAAAAAAAAAAGTAGAAAAGAGACTATGATAACTAGTCTCCATTGTCAACATGACTAGATTAGAATTGCTTAATGTATTAGGGTTCTCTAGAAGACTGAATTTAATACAATGAATATACATATATATATGTGTGTGTGTGTGTATATATATATATATATCTTCATTTCCTTTGTGGCCTCTCTCTCTCTATATATATATATATGTATGTATACACACATATGTATACATACACACTCACACACATGCACATGCATACATATATATGGGGATTTAATGGGCTGGCTTAAGGACTGTGGTCCAGCTAGTCAACAATACCATCTATTAACAGAAGGTCCAACAATCCAGTGGTTGTTCAGTCTGAGACTAGATACCTCAGCTGTTCTTCAGTGTCTGTCAGACCCCAAAGAAATAGGCTCTAATGCCAGGGAAGGAATGGACTTGCCAGTGAGCGCTAAGGCAAAAAGCAAAAGCTTCCTTTTCCATGTCCTTATATAGACTGTCACCAGAAGCTGTGGCCCAGACTAACAGTGGGTCTTCCCACCTCAAAAGATTTAATTAAGAAAAGATTCCTGGCACGGGAGGAGGGGAGGGAAAAGGAGAGGGACCTGGAATTGACATGTGAAGCAACCTTGTTTCTAATTTAAATTTAAACTAAAAAAAAGAAAAGATTCCTTACAGGTGTACCCAGCCATTTGGATTTTAGTTAATTTAAGATGTAGTCATCTGGAGAGATGGCTCAGGGGTTAAGAGTGCTGGCTGCTCTTCCAGAGGTCCTGAGTTCAATTCCCAGCAACAACATTGTAGCGCACAGCCATCTGTAATGAGATCTGGTGCCCTCTTCTGGCCTAATGCAGGCAGAATACTGTATACATAAATAAATAAATAAATCTTAAAAAAAAAGATGTAGTTAGTTGATAGCCAAGAATAGCCTAGGAAACAGACCTATCTGAGTCTATCTGAGGAAGGGTGTTCCCAGGAAAGTCTAGGAAACAGACCTATCTGAGTCTATCTGAGGAAGGGTGTTCCCAGGAAAGTCTAGGAAACAGACCTATCTGAGTCTATCTGAGGAAGGGTGTTCCCAGGAAAGTCTAGGAAACAGACCTATCTGAGTCTATCTGAGGAAGGGTGTTCCCAGGAAAGTCTAGGAAACAGACCTATCTGAGTCTATCTGAGGAAGGGTGTTCCCAGGAAAGTCTAGGAAACAGACCTATCTGAGTCTATCTGAGGAAGGGTGTTCCCAGGAAAGTCTAGGAAACAGACCTATCTGAGTCTATCTGAGGAAGGGTGTTCCCAGGAAAGTCTAGGAAACAGACCTATCTGAGTCTATCTGAGGAAGGGTGTTCCCAGGAAAGTCTAGGAAACAGACCTATCTGAGTCTATCTGAGGAAGGGTGTTCCCAGGAAAGTCTAGGAAACAGACCTATCTGAGTCTATCTGAGGAAGGGTGTTCCCAGGAAAGTCTAGGAAACAGACCTATCTGAGTCTATCTGAGGAAGGGTGTTCCCAGGAAAGTCTAGGAAACAGACCTATCTGAGTCTATCTGAGGAAGGGTGTTCCCAGGAAAGTCTAGGAAACAGACCTATCTGAGTCTATCCGAGGAAGGGTGTTCCCAGGAAAGTCTAGGAAACAGACCTATCTGAGTCTATCCGAGGAAGGGTGTTCCCAGGAAAGTCTAGGAAACAGACCTATCTGAGTCTATCCGAGGAAGGGTGTTCCCAGGAAAGTCTAGGAAACAGACCTATCTGAGTCTATCCGAGGAAGGGTGTTCCCAGGAAAGTCTAGGAAACAGACCTATCTGAGTCTATCCGAGGAAGGGTGTTCCCAGGAAAGTCTAGGAAACAGACCTATCTGAGTCTATCTGAGGAAGGGTGTTCCCAGGAAAGTCTAGGAAACAGACCTATCTGAGTCTATCTGAGGAAGGGTGTTCCCAGGAAAGTCTAGGAAACAGACCTATCTGAGTCTATCTGAGGAAGGGTGTTCCCAGGAAAGTCTAGGAAACAGACCTATCTGAGTCTATCTGAGGAAGGGTGTTCCCAGGAAAGTCTAGGAAACAGACCTATCTGAGTCTATCTGAGGAAGGGTGTTCCCAGGAAAGTCTAGGAAACAGACCTATCTGAGTCTATCTGAGGAAGGGTGTTCCCAGGAAAGTCTGAGGAAACAGACCTATCTGAGTCTATCCGAGGAAGGGTGTTCCCAGGAAAGTCTAGGAAACAGACCTATCTGAGTCTATCCGAGGAAGGGTGTTCCCAGGAAAGTCTAGGAAACAGACCTATCTGAGTCTATCTGAGGAAGGGTGTTCCCAGGAAAGTCTAGGAAACAGACCTATCTGAGTCTATCTGAGGAAGGGTGTTCCCAGGAAAGTCTAGGAAACAGACCTATCTGAGTCTATCTGAGGAAGGGTGTTCCCAGGAAAGTCTAGGAAACAGACCTATCTGAGTCTATCTGAGGAAGGGTGTTCCCAGGAAAGTCTAGGAAACAGACCTATCTGAGTCTATCTGAGGAAGGGTGTTCCCAGGAAAGTCTAGGAAACAGACCTATCTGAGTCTATCTGAGGAAGGGTGTTCCCAGGAAAGTCTAGGAAACAGACCTATCTGAGTCTATCTGAGGAAGGGTGTTCCCAGGAAAGTCTAGGAAACAGACCTATCTGAGTCTATCCGAGGAAGGGTGTTCCCAGGAAAGTCTAGGAAACAGACCTATCTGAGTCTATCCGAGGAAGGGTGTTCCCAGGAAAGTCTAGGAAACAGACCTATCTGAGTCTATCCGAGGAAGGGTGTTCCCAGGAAAGTCTAGGAAACAGACCTATCTGAGTCTATCCGAGGAAGGGTGTTCCCAGGAAAGTCTAGGAAACAGACCTATCTGAGTCTATCCGAGGAAGGGTGTTCCCAGGAAAGTCTAGGAAACAGACCTATCTGAGTCTATCTGAGGAAGGGTGTTCCCAGGAAAGTCTAGGAAACAGACCTATCTGAGTCTATCTGAGGAAGGGTGTTCCCAGGAAAGTCTAGGAAACAGACCTATCTGAGTCTATCTGAGGAAGGGTGTTCCCAGGAAAGTCTAGGAAACAGACCTATCTGAGTCTATCTGAGGAAGGGTGTTCCCAGGAAAGTCTAGGAAACAGACCTATCTGAGTCTATCTGAGGAAGGGTGTTCCCAGGAAAGTCTAGGAAACAGACCTATCTGAGTCTATCTGAGGAAGGGTGTTCCCAGGAAAGTCTGAGGAAACAGACCTATCTGAGTCTATCCGAGGAAGGGTGTTCCCAGGAAAGTCTAGGAAACAGACCTATCTGAGTCTATCCGAGGAAGGGTGTTCCCAGGAAAGTCTAGGAAACAGACCTATCTGAGTCTATCTGAGGAAGGGTGTTCCCAGGAAAGTCTAGGAAACAGACCTATCTGAGTCTATCTGAGGAAGGGTGTTCCCAGGAAAGTCTAGGAAACAGACCTATCTGAGTCTATCTGAGGAAGGGTGTTCCCAGGAAAGTCTAGGAAACAGACCTATCTGAGTCTATCTGAGGAAGGGTGTTCCCAGGAAAGTCTAGGAAACAGACCTATCTGAGTCTATCTGAGGAAGGGTGTTCCCAGGAAAGTCTAGGAAACAGACCTATCTGAGTCTATCTGAGGAAGGGTGTTCCCAGGAAAGTCTAGGAAACAGACCTATCTGAGTCTATCTGAGGAAGGGTGTTCCCAGGAAAGTCTAGGAAACAGACCTATCTGAGTCTATCTGAGGAAGGGTGTTCCCAGGAAAGTCTGAGGAGTATGGCACACACAGCTTGAATGTGGGTGGCACCATCCTAAGGGCTGAGATCTGACAGAAAAAGGGAGAATCAAGCAGAACAGTGGCATTTGTCGTCTGCCTCCTGACAGCAGGCAGGATGTGACAGCTGTCTCATGCTCCTGCTGACAGACACAGCTACACCTGACTCCCCACATGGCATTCCCCTGTGAAGGACTCTGCTCTCACACTGTGAGGTCAATAACCCTTCCTTCCTTAGGCCTCCTTCGACAGGCACTTTGTCACGTCACAAGAAAAGGGACCATGTGAGGAGAAGAGGAGGAAGGCATCCTACGGATGGGGAAGGGAGGAAAGAGAACACGGTGAGACCAGAGGAGACAGGTGACTCCAAACGGGCCTCTCGGTGGCCTCCACCTGGCTGTATCCTGTGGCGCTCTGAGCATGTGCAGAATAGCCAGCTGTCTATTTCCGGAGACGCCAGCCCAGAATGACTTCAAAGTAGGGTGGTCCTCACTCCCATAGGGAGGCAGTGACCCACAGCAGTGTGGTCGGGTAAAAACTCCATCAGGATTTCAGGTGCTTTTCTGAGTAATGTAAGCAGTCCCTTTCAGATGGAGGCCTAATTAAATACTTCAGCTCAGATGGGAAGGCAAAGTCAAAACTGTCTTAGAGAATTACTGAGAGCCACGATGGTACCCAGAGAAAGCTTAAGTTCAGCTATGCTTTGGAGCACAGGGCTGCAATGGACTCACTCCCAGGGCCACTAAGCTGCACCTCCAGCTATCATTTTTAGAGGTGTTAGGTGATAGCTGCGCACTACATATGGCTGGGTACTTGTTAATTAAAAAGTAAGAGCAGTTTTCCAGATAGTAGCTGTCTTGGAATAGCTCAGAACATTCCAGAAAGTTTAGGACTTTGCTGTTTAAAACCAAAGGTCTATGAAGTTCCTATAATGGCCCAGACAGCAAATATCTTGGGTTTATGAGGTGGTTTGAAAGAAAATGGCCCCCACAGGTCCATAGGGAGTGGCACTAACAGGAGGTGTGGCCTTGTTGGAGGAAGTGTCTCTGGGGGCGGGCTTTGAGGTTTCCTATGCTCCAGCTAGGGCCAGTGTGCCCCACGGTCTCTGCTGGCTGCCTTCAGATCTAGATGCAGAACTCTCAGCTGCCTCTTCAGCACATCGACCACACTCTGCCACCCTTCATACCACGACGACAGTGGACTAAACCGCTGAGCTATAAGTCATCCCCAATTAAGAGTTGCTGTGGAGGGGGCTGACAGAAAAAGGGAGAATCAAGCAGAACAGTGGCTCAGAGTTTAAGAGCACTGCATGTTCTGCCAGAGGTCCTGAGTTCAAGTCCCAGCAACCACATGGTGGCTCACAACCATCTATAATGAGGTCTGATGCCTTCTCCTGGGGTACAGGCATGTTCACAGATAAAAGACTGTATGCATAATAAATAAATAATTTTAAAAAAGAGTTGCTGTGGGGGGAGGGTGGAGAGATGGCTCAGTGGTTAAGAGCACTGGCTGCTCTCTTCCAGAGGTCTTGAGTTCAATCTCCAGCAACCATATGGTGGCTCACAACCATCGATAATGGGATTTGGTGCCCTCTTCTGGCCTGGAGGTGTATATAATAAATAAATTAATTAAAAAAATGAGTTGCTGTGGTCATGGTGTCTTTTCACATCAACAGAAACTCTAACTAAGACAGAAGTTGGTACCAGGGACTGGGGTGTTGCTGTGATAGGCCAGACCATGTTTTTGTTTGAAGGAATGTGGACCTTGGGACCATGGATTAGAAATGCAGTTGAACACTTTAAGTGGAGCTTAATAGGCCACACAAGTAGGAGCATCGATGACAGGGATACTGAGGTGGGGACCTGACTCCAGACGGTTCAGAGAGAATATTCTAAGTACCCTAGAGACCATTCTTAGGACACTTTGGCTAAGAATATGGCTGTTTTTTGCCCTCGTCTGAAAAGTCTGCCTGAGGCTAAATTGAACAGTTTTGGATTGGTTGATTTGGCAGAGGAAGTCTCAAAACAGCCTAGTATTAACTGTGTCATGTAGTTATTAGTGTTCACTCTTATGCAGATCTATAAGGAAAAGGAGAAAGCTGAGCAATGAAAAATAAAATATGTACAGCTTGAGGCAAAAGGTGGCATCAGGAAGGAGAATGGAGCTAAGTCTTATGTTCAAGGAGACAAACAGGTTAAAGAAAAGCTTGATATTAAATGGAGCAAAGGGAGCGGTGACTTCAGGGAAAAATTCTATCCAGCTACATTTCCAACTTGTAAAAAGGAACTAAAGACCATTAATTCCAGCACCCAGGGGGCAAAGGCAGGCAAGTTTCAGAGTTCAAGGCCAGCCTGGTCTACAGAAAAAGTTCCAGGATGGCCAAACTTAGGCAGTCAAGGAAACCATCAAAAACAGAAATCTGGTGAAGACTTAATTGAACAAGGAAGGCATGTTTCAGTTCCAGCAAGCAGTAGAACTTGGCAGCTTTACCCACATGGTTCTGAGTTTAGAGTCAAGGATAGACAAACAGGCTATAGTTTCTCCCTCTGAGACTAAGGAAAGCCACTCAGGCTTTGTATCAGATCTGTCCCTGCGTAGAGGCCTAGAGGGGCCATGGAGTGAAGCTGTGAAGGTGAATCTGGGAGGCCCCAAGATGTTGGAGATGCCAGAGTTGTGGGGTACTCGCCCAGGAAAGCTGCTAACGGAGTAGAAACAGCCCAGGAGACAGAGGTGTGCTACAGTCAACAAAGATGAAGGGAGTTGGAGATCGGAAGAGCATTTTGACATCCGACATGGAGATAGATGCAGAGTTTGGAATTTGCCCAGGTGGTTTTTGGTCTTGCTTTGGTCCAGTATTTCCTTGCTATGCTCCCTTTCCACCCTTTTTGGAATGGTAATGTATATCCTGTGCCATTAAATGTTGGAACTATGTGATCTGCAGCTTCGTTTTGATTTTATAGGGGGTTACAGTTAAGACACTGCAGAGTCTCAGAAGAGACTTTGGGCTTTGAAACAGAGTTGAAGCTGTCATAGACTATGGGGGCTTTAAAGTCTGACTTAGTACATCTCTGCATTATGATATGGCAACAAGCCTCTTGAGTCAGGGAGTGGAATGTGGCAGTTTGAAGGAAAATGGCCCCCATAGGCTCATTAGGACTGGTGTGACTAGGAGGTGTGGCCTTGTTGGAGAAAGTGTGTCACTCAGGGTGGGCTCTGAGGTGTAGATGCTCAACCTAGGCCCAGCGTGTTTCACACTCTCTTCCTGCTGTCTTTGAAACCAGATGAACTCTCAGCTCCCTCTACAGCTCCACGCCTGCCTGTCTGCCACCATGATCCCCACCATGAGTACAATGACCTGAGCCTCGGAACTGTAAGCCAGCCCCAAATAAATGTCTGCCGACATGATTCCCACCATGAGTACAATGACCTGAGCCTCGGAACTGTAAGCCAGCCCAAAATAAATGTTTTCCTTTGTAACAGCTGCTATGTTCAGGGTGTCTCTTCACAGCAAAAGAAACCCTAAGACAGTTTACATTGTCGTGTTTTTACAACTGTGCTGCAATTGTGTGTGAAAAGCAGGGACAGGCATCAGTAAATGAACAAAGCTATATTCCAGTAAATCTGAATAATACTGAACTTGGAATTTCATTAAGACATTCAGGGTCAACATCTTCCCAAACATTTACAAGGTTAAAACAATTACTGCTTCCCACAGACCACTCACAAAATTAGTAACATTGCCAATCTCTGAGTGAAATTCAGGCCTTGACAACTAGACAGTGTTAGTCACAGTATCAAATGTATCTTCACACTTTTTGAGATATCGTAACTCAGGCTGACCTCATACTTGGTGATCTCCTGAATCAGCCTCCCAGTGCTGGAATTAAAAGCATGAACCATTTGCCAAAGTTTTGTTTGTATTCCTTATCTTAGAGGGCTAAGGTGACTAAATAAATTATCCACAACAGAAACAAACAAAAAAGAATGGGGGACTATTTTGGGATGACAGAGGTGGCCAGGAGAGGGGTGCAGGAATAAGGACAAGCAGTGGGGAGAGCAATGTACTAATGGCACATGTATACAAATGCATAATAAAACCCACTGCAACAGAAAGAGTGCTCACAAGCAATGCACCAGGCCAACTACATGGTACTCTCAGCTAAATGAAGGAGCAGGCTCGAGACAACATAACCAGTATCTGCTTGGGTGCTGGGATTCAAACTCAGGTCCCCATGCTCACACAGCAATGCTCACAACTTTACCCAGGTACCATCTCCATGGCGGACTTACTTCTTCTTGAAGACCAGGAACTTGTTGTTTTGCATGATGCATTCTCGGTTGTTAGTGATCTGCTGGAAGATGGTCTTATTGGTCTTGCCCTGGAAGATGATGTTCTCCTGTACCAGGGCCTTAGCTCGGCCCCGCACTGCAATGCCGTAGGCACGGAAGGAGTGGATCCGGTTCTTCAGTACCTGGGAGAAGCAGCCAGGGCTTGTCACAGACTGGTAGACGCTGCATGACTGCTATAACCACAGAGTCCAAGTGTGTTAGAGCAGTCAGCACAGAGCAAGAGGAGCTCTGGTGGAGCACAGAGAGGGCGGCCTGGCGGGGCCACTGTGTCCTAGGGCTGACCAACAGGCTGCAGGAGGGCTGAGCTGGGACAGTTCTTTCCAGAAAAAGGAATAGCATGTAAAGGCCTATCAGAGGAGGGCACTGTGCCAGAAGCCATGCCTATTTGCAGCCTGACTGAGCCCGCAGAGTGCACCTCCTGCTCTGTTCCCAAGGGTTCAGAAGAGCCACCCCCCCCCCGTTCTTTATCCCTTGCCCACACGCTGCACACTGTGAACCTTGTGAAGCCGCACAGCTGAGAACCGCTGGATACTCACAGGGAACTGGCTTATCTGGTTCTACCGTGAAGCCCTGGCACCATGCAGTGCTTCACCTAAAGGTGCTCAGAGCTCAGTGTCATGTGCCAGGACAGGCAAGAAAACAGTAAGCACTGCCAAGCGCTCCAGATATTGGGGTGGTTGTGCCCCAAAAGTCCAAAAGAGAGCACGCCAAATAGCCTGGGCAACTCAGCAAGTCTTCTTTAAAATGCAACAGGCAGGCTACGAATACCTAAGAAGACTCCCCACACAGACCACAGCGTGTGCGAAGGCCCTCGGGCTCTCCTGGCAAGTACATACCGCACGACAAGAAGGTCCATGCAAGCTTTTTCTGTCAGGGAAAGAGCTGAGATAGCCGGGACTTTGACATAGAGACTAAGAAGACACCCGGAAGGCTCCCAGCACCATGACTCTCCTGTCCATCCTTTGGGGCCCAGCCTATATGCTCCCCTCTGTGAAAGCTCCCCCGCTGTGGACCACGTTTTTCTCCTTACAGTGCTGAGGGTTCTGTTTCTCAGCAAAGTGTGCAGGCCTGAGCCCTGCTGGCACCTTGCACATACACGTCATACACTGACCTTAGTGTCAGACCTGGGCAGCAGCTGCAGTCCGCTGCCCCGGTTGCCAATGATGTCGTTTTCCACCACGGCAGTACTGTCACCCTTGGTGATGATGCCGTGGCCTCTATTGTCATAGATCCCGTTGCCCCGGAGCTCCACCTTGCACTGGGCTTCAACCTTGACACCACTCTGCCGGTTGCAGGAGATGCTGTTGTTGGCCACCCTCGTGAGCTGGCTGCTCTGAACAATGGTGATGCCTCTGTCCCCGTTGGCATGGATCACATTGGTGATGACCTGCAGGGCCTCGCTGCTCTGCACAAAGAGTCCTGACGCTACAGAGTATGGAGTGGGAAGAGCAGAGGTGACCCCGGGGTCAACCCCGACAATGCCAGTCAGGAGGAACAGCCTCGCCTGAAGTGTGTGCTCCAGGATGGCAGGGAAGAGGCACGGAGTCCCTGCTGAGGTGGCCAGGGCCACAGGCTGTAAGAAGACTCCTTAGGTTCAACAGTCCTCTGGCCCAAGCCCCAGGTCTCCTACAGCCTCATGCTAATAGGGCAGGAGGGTTGCAGTAGGAGTAAGGGGACTGCCAGGAGGGGGTAGGGCAGAAGACAAGACCTGGGCTGGTTCAAGAGCAGTCTGAGCCAGCCTCTTGGTGGCACCTGGGCTGTTTTCCCTCGCCTGGAAGAGTCACCTTACACGGCTTAGCCTGTGCCACCAGGCAGCCGGGCTTCATGAAAGGAGTCCTCTACTGGGGTGTGCTGGCAGAACTCACTCCCCTGGGGCTGCTGTTACTGATCTCACTGCTCCAAGTCACTCCAGAGGAAAGAGCCTTCCAGGGCCCACGAATCTATCTTTTTATTCCACCCGCACTTGGGATCTCACCCCAGAAAACATGCCGTTGGATGGAGCTGGGGAGTGGCTCAGGGGTCAAAGCACTTGTTGTCCTTACAGATCACCCGGGTTCAGGCCCTAGCACCCATACGGTAGCTCACAACCATCTGTAACCACAGTTCCAGAGGGACCCAGGGCCCTCTTCTGACCTCCATGAGCATTAGGCATGAATGTGGTATATAGATACACATGCAGATACAACACATAAAAACAAAACCATCTGAAATTATACAGAAAGCAAAGCTCTATAAGACGTCTCTAAGACGTTTATGATCCCACGTCACTGGGTATGGGTTAGGGCATAAATCCAACGAAGAAAGGGTGAGGGAGTGTGTTTGCAACTAGGAAGTCTTCGTTGGTGTGGGAATTTCCGGCAAAAGCAGCCTATTAGTGAAGCCAGAGGGGCAGAGGTAAGAAGAAAGGGATTTGAGTTTGGGGAAAAGGCCAGGGGCTGAGTTATTCATTAAGCAGCTAATGAAGCCAGAGGGACAGGTTGGGAGCAGTGCAGAGAGCCCAGGACACTGGGACCATGGAAGGGACCGCAGGGGCTGGGGTACACTCACCTCCATTGTGATTAATGCTGTTAGACTCCACGAGAGCTATGGTGACGGACCTGCGCAGTGGGTCATCCTCCTTCTCCAGCTCTGTCTCCCAGAGGATGGCATCTCCGTCCTCACTGAAGTTCTCCTGGGCCCCATGGCCCCCAGGGAACTCGCCAGAGCCATCCTTCTGGCTGAACACTGCCACTCCATACAGCCCATTGTAGCTCACATGGTTGCTGGTGACATGGGGCAGGCTGGAGGACATCATCCACACACCACAGCCTTTGTTAGCTGGGACAGTGAAAAGGAGCCTGTCACCGACACCCAAGAGCAGGTGAAGCAGCACCCAGTGTGACCCGAGGGGGGAAATAAAAGGTCCTGAGAGAGTCACCTCGGAGTCCTGGCTATGGGAATCTCCTTTGTACACAAGGGACAATGGCCAGTTCACCTCACTATCTAGGATCATTCCTTAGGACGTGAAGTGCTCTGAGAACTGCCAAGTCCCTGGGGCAGTGCAAAGGGGTCACCAAGGGAGCAGGCTCAGTGTGAACCTAGCCCTGCCATTTCCTGGTTGGGACCCTGAGTGACTTACCTAACTCTGTGCCTCTGCCCTCATCTGTAAGTTGGGGTTGGTAACTGGAGGTTAAATGTGACAACGCTCACAGCTGGGCTTGAGTAACCCAGCTACAGATTTTATTTGCACAAAGTCACATGGCGAGAACAGTATTTTCTGTAATAACCCTGTTTTTCTGTTGAGTTTTCCATTGTTTGCGTCAAAGGGATGGGAGGAGTCAGATGCCCATGAGTTGGAGCTCGTGTGGGCCACTGTAGCAGACAACACCCCACCTTTTACTATCTTACACGGGGCTAGAACACTGCTTGCTGACCTGTGGGCTCAAAGTGGGTCGGGAGATGTCGGAGGAGCCCCTCCTGCTCAGAGGCCGGACACTACACACATCTGTTTACAAAGGAGTCTCTGAGGCCTGGAAGAGGTGACGACCTTCTCAGAACCCACTAGCGGAAGCTGAAACCTGGGCTTCCACGTCCCGGGCATGCTGGGCTGCAGACACTGCCCGGGGACATGCTCTCACCATAGATGGTGTTTCCCTCTATCAGTCCTTTGCCTTCATCACCCACGACAACGCCGTCTGAGTAGCCAAAGCAGATGAGGTTGCTCCTGAGGACAGGGACGCCGCCGCGGCGGATGTCTACCCCTCCCCACTGATTTTCACGGATGACATTTTCTGTGGGGAGAGGTGGGGAGGTCAGTACCCAAGAGCCGCTCCAGTGCAGGCCATGATGACAGGACAGCTAAAAAAAAGCACTCCCAGCCTTCACCCGGAGCAGGACACTCACACCTGGGCTGCCAGCAGTCCGCACCCCGAAGCTTACGTGCGGCTGCTTCAGGGACTCGCCTGCTCTCCCAACGACAAAGGCTCTGCTTGTCTTGCACGCTCCTGTGTCTCCACACCCACTCTACCCAGCAGCCTTGAGACCAAGGAGGAAGAGCTCCACCCCCATATGCTTGCCCTCAGCCTAGGCCTACACTCTGACCTCCCTGCCCTGCCCCGCCCCTTCTCTCCTAGGACATCAGAAGGGGAGTCCTGGACACTGCTGCCTCAGCACAGGCACAAAGTAGACAGGTTACAGGGACTGGGGTCCCCTTTTCTTTTCTTTAATACTTTCTTTAATTTTTTTTTTGAAGACAGTTTTTCCTCTGTGTAGCCCTGGCTGTGTGGGAACTCGTTCTGTAGACCAGGCTGGCCTTGAACTCACAGAGATCTACCTGCCTTGCCTCCCAACTGAGTGTTGGGATTAAAGGGGCATGCCATCACTGACTGGCTGAAGTAAGTGATGGGCCCTTTCTGCCTCTGCAACCCTATGCCATACTTTTCACCCTCTGCTCATACTCCATCCTACAAGCAGTCCTGCTTAGGTGTGAAAGTCTGTTTCACTAGACTTCTGTTGCTCAGGATCTGAATTATGTGTCATCCTTGAAGAGAAGTCTAGCACGATCATATGCTCTCAATGTCTGCACAGCCTTCTATCACCTTATGCAAATGACTGTCACTCTTACTTGGGTGTCTACATATGCCTTTACATATTTATATGCTTTCTCCTCAAAACTCAATCCCTGAGAGCAGAGTCACTGCCTGTCTCCTTTTCACTCCATATCCAGCACTGGGACAAGGGCTCACATAGCGGGTGTTCGGCAAGTGGCTTTGTTTGTCTGTTTTCCTTTTTCTCAATGGTAGGATCTAATCTAGGGCCACACACATGCTAGGCAAGTGGTCTACAACTGAGTTATGAGTATGTGGTAAATGATGATTACATGCAATCAAGATTCCAGGCTCCACACTGGGCAGTGGTAGTACATGCCTTAAATCCCAGAGGCAGGCAGATTAACTCTCTGCGGTTAAGGCCAGCCTGATCTACAGAGAGAGTTCCAGGACTACACAGAGAAACCCTGTCTCAAAAAAAAAAACAAGAAAAAAAATTCCAGGTTCCAATGATATACCAGGCAGATGTGACAAAACGAAGAACTAAGAAATTCTATAACATGTTCAGCAGAGGAGGTGTCCTGGCACAGTGGGCATCATCTATAGAGGAGGGGAGCTAGGGCAGGCTTCCCACAGGAAGTGGCATGAGCGGAGACATATCAGACATGCGAGAACTGGGCAGACAGATTTGCAGAGCAGACACCCGTTTAATTGGTGCAGCTGGAAGTGTGAGCCAGCTGTCCAGCAGCTGGCAGAGATGGCACTACCCCGATGCTATGCTGGGAGTTCCCATGAGAAACATGACCCCGGCAGAACTGGTACCCCTGAAGGACCACCTGCTAATCACAGAAGGAGGTCTAGGGTAAGCAAAGGAGTGGTGTAAGGGTCTGAAGCTGGTGGGGGTGACGCCAGGGGATGGTGACTTGGTTGCCACCTGTACTGGCTGGCTATAGCTATAGTAGTTCCTGTCACGTACCTGTGATGAGGCCCTTGCCATTCTCGTTCACTGCGATGCCAGCTGCGCGCCCCTTGAAGATGTGGTTTCCGCTAAAATACAAGACAGGGAAGGATGTGAGACCAAGACACCTACATCATGCTTCAAGGTGACTTTCTTTAAAACATTCAAAATGTTACTTGTTTGAGTGTGTGTGTGTGTGTGTGTGTGTGTGCGTGTGCACATGTGCACAAATGCCACAGCATGCATACAGAAGTCATAGAATGACCTTTGGGAGTTGGTTCTGTCCTTCCGCTATGGGTTCCAGGGATCAAGCCCAGGTCAGGCTTACATAGTGAGTGCTTTTACCCACAGACCCATCACACTGGCCCACGGCCTTCCTTAGTAGGTTTCCCAGTGGCCCATGTCCATAGGGAACAGCCACCCTTTGAAATCCCGTAAGCTAAGCATTTGGAAATCCTTATCTGCCCTGGGATAGCTTGACCCAAAACTAAAACTCACAACTCTGGACTTCAGCACAACGATAGCCAACTCTCTATGGCTTTTCTGCACTGCATCAGTTAACACACAAACCATTGACACACATGTCACCATGGTGCATGTGTCACAGGGCAAGTCTTGGCAGTATGAAGAGTTCCTAGGATGCTGTACCAAGCTTTCTTAGAATGATTAGAGTACTACAGTTTTTAGTGCTTTGATGCCTCAGTTGGGACTCTTGGACTCTTGCTGTGTCCCCTCCCCTCTCCTGACCCTACCCCCTAAAACAAAGAAATGTGGAGGGATAAAAGCACAGCCTATCCCCTCAGGATGACTTGTGAGTCTTCATTTGAAACTCTTTAATGGTTTCCCAGCACAAGCAAATGTTTATGTAGACTGTCTTCAGCAATGGGATACTATCTGCCTAAAAGTAGAAGGACCAGATAAAGCATGGAGAACAATGAGTTGGCTATGACCCGGAATTTCCCCAAGTGACACAGGTACTTACCTAGGCAACAACATTTAGACAAACTCATACGGAAAAGTGCAGGGGGAGCGCCACAGAGTGCATCTGCTGCGCACTGATTGACACCAGGTTTCCTAAAGCCGGACGCAACTGACGCTTCTGCTCCAAACCTTAGTGCACCCTCCTGAGCGTGGCCGACCCGGCCTGTCTCTATCACACAATGGCTTTTGGCATTTCTTTCCACACGCATGCTGCAGCAGAGACACCATGTATACCCTGGGGACAGAGGTCATGCTCCAATGCCCGCAGGGCACTGGCTCACTGGGACAGCCTCGATTTTAAAGCACTAACGGGGACAGGAGAGGTGCTGAGCGCTTCCTGCTCTTGCAGAGGGGCCCCTGGCTCTGTGCTGTGGTCACCTCTCTTGCTGTCTTGTTTTTAGGAATGGCGCGAGTTCAAGTCCTCCTCTTCTTTTAGAGTGTGGAAGACTGAACCTTCAAGGGCCTGGTGCATGCTGGTCAAGTTTTCTTCCATGAGCTACCCAGCCATTGAAGTCAACTCGAAAGGTCTTTCAGTGTGAGGCCTTCCCTACGTGCTCTTAGAATGACTCGCTCCTCTCGACAGCCCCACGCTACTGCTAGGAAGGCAGACACACCCAATAATGCTGCTCCCTTCCCACTGATGACCTACAGCACATAAAGGTCATAGCATGCATCATGTGGAGGCCAGGGTCACCTTCTTTTACATATTCATTCATTCATTCATTCATTCATTCATTCATTCATTGTTTGTGTCTGTACACAGCACACCTATAGAGTTCAGAGAACAACCTGCCATAGTTGATTCTCTCTTTCTATCTTGTGAGTCCCTGGGATCAAACTCAGTTTGTCAGGCTTACTGGCAATTGCCATTACTCATTCCATACTAGAGTCAGCTCCCAAGGAGCAGTCGGCAGTGTTTGCCTTTGTTTCCTCTGTTAGAAGTGCACAGTAGTGTCGGCCCAGCAGAATGCCTGTGCACAGCTAGCCTTCTGGAAGGGAAGTCAGAAGCACCAGGGCAGCTGTGTTGCTGGGTGGATTTAGGGTGTAAACAAACGGGCTTTCAAATGGAAGAAAGACACAGAGGAGGGGAGTAAGGGACCTCGGAAGGGCCAGACAGTCTGGGCAGAGCAGTGCCTACCTCACAATTGGATTTCCATGGTACAGGATATAAATGCCAGCCTCCTTATTGGAAAAGATTTGGTTGTTCCTGATGACGCCTTTCCCATTGCCGAGGACAACAATGCCAGATCGAAGACCATGGTGGATCTGGTTACACTGCAAGTAAAAGGGAGACATGGCAGGCGGATCCAACACGTCAGGGTGCAGAGAGTGCATAAGCACCACTCCACAGCTGCACCAGGGTGGGCGCGCCACGACAAGAACACCTCAGAAGTTGCCTAGCACACAGCAAAGGGACTAAGCTGCGCAGCTGCCTTCCTCACACAGGTGTGTGCATGCAAACAGCAGGCAGGGTGTGAGGACGGATGAGTGCTCCCCACAGCCTTGGAGCAGGGTGTGAGGACGGATGAGTGCTCCCCACAGCCTTGGGGCAGGGTGTGAGGACGGATGAGTGCTCCCCACAGCCTTGGAGCAGGGTGTGAGGACGGATGAGTGCTCCCCACAGCCTTGGAGCAGGGTGTGAGGACGGATGAGTGCTCCCCGCAGCCTTGGGGCAGGGTGTGAGGACGGATGAGTGCTCCCCGCAGCCTTGGAGCAGGGTGTGAGGATGGATGAGTGCTCCCCGCAGCCTTGGGGCAGGGTGTGAGGACGGATGAGTGCTCCCTGTATCCTTGGAGCAGGGTGTGAGGACGGATGAGTGCTCCCCGCAGCCTTGGGGCAGGGTGTGAGGACGGATGAGTGCTCCCTGCAGCCTTGGGGCAGGGCTACGTGGCCTTTGCCGTTGAGGGTTCTGCACTTTTTTCCCAAGGCAGGAGGCTACGGAAAGTGTCTGAGCCTCTCCAGAGCTCCCCAAGCCCAGTACAAAATCATCTAGCCAGGCCACACCCGCCTGGACATGTGCCCACTCCTCAGGGAAGGGCGTCAATTCAGGACAAGAGAGTGTGGCCCACGGCAGTCCTGTGGAGGCCACCCCCACAGAGGCATGGGAACCATCAGCTTCTGGTCCTCTTTCAGGGGAGACCGGTGAGAGGATGCAGGGCTGAGGGGCTCCCTGCCTCGTGGAGAAAGACCAGAGGTCTGTCTGTGCAGGATGCTGAGGAGACTCACTTCTGCTCCTCTGTGTACAATGGGGAACAGGCCCGGGCCTGCACAAAATATCTGTGACAAAGATGATCTGAACCCTCGTTTTGCTGTCTCTTAGGGGAGTTAGAGACTGAATAATTTAAGTTCACAAAATTTTGGCAAAATTTTCTCATTCTAACTATGTGTGTGGAAGTATAAGTGTGTGCATGTGTCTACGTGTACATGTGCGTGTGAATGAGTGTGGATGCTAGAGGTCAACCTCTCGTGCCACGCATCAGGAGCTACCCAGCCTGTTTTTTTGATTCAGGGTCTCTCATTGGACTGAAACTCTCCAAGCAGGCTAGACTGGCTGGCTAGTGAGCTCCAGGGATCTGCCTATTTCTGCCTCCCCAGTGCTGAGATTACAAACTCTTCCGAACAATCCAGGTTGCCCAGCTTGGGCACAGCAGTAATCCCAGCACTGAGGCAGGAAGATCTCAGTCTAAGGCTGGCTTGAGCTGTATACCAAGCCCGTTTAAAAAAACAAAAAACAGCCGGACATTGGTGGCACACATCTTTAATCCCAGCACTCGGGAGGCAGAGGCAGGCGTATCTCTGTGAGTTCGAGGCCAGCCTGGTCTACAAAGCGAGTTCCAGGACAGCCTCCAAAACAATACAGAGAAACCCTGTCTCAAAAACAAACAAACTCAAAAACAAAAAACAAAACTCAGACCCAAACCAACCAGACAAACAATGACGTCACAAAGCCTTAACCGTATCTTGCTATTGGCCATTAATCAAGGCAGGAAAACTCCTGTGCTAATGTGCCTTCAGATCATTCTTTCCTTTATCTTCAACAGATTGTGGTGAAATCAAAGCATGTCCAGGTGTTCCTGTCATCATTTTAACCTTTTGAGCATGTGCTCCACGGCCTTGAGCTAAGTGTGTCCAAAGTGAGCTTACCATCTTTTCTTCTTAAATTATGACCTTAAAATAAAATGTGTCCTTAGGGGAGTTGGCCTGGGAGTGTACCCGTTCCTGGAGTGTTTTCTAGAGTGTTCAAAGCTTCCTTTGCTCACGGAGGGCATCATCTTAGAAACGCCTCGCACTCACTCCATACCTGCTCAGCTAACCTTTGCCTGGCTGTCCTTGTTTTGACTTTGAGGTAACCACCACAGCAGGCTACAGGGCTACATGCTTCCCTAACTTGCTCTCTTTTGAGATCTCTGCAGGGTTTGGCTAGCTCACAGGCAGCCACTGCCCGAGATGTCCACCAAAAGACTGAAAAGCTTAGAGGGGCAGGTATATGTAACAGGACCACCCCACCTCATCTCACTACACCGGGACCCCACTCTGCCGCTGGCACGCCCACCCCACGGCCAGCAGACTCCAGTCATGACTACCATGTACAGAGAGCTTTACAAGCATATGGTACACAGATGAGCGTCACACACACCTTTCTAAACTCACAATTCCCCAGTTTCTGGAAGTCTCTGGAAACGTCAGAACAGAGGGAACCAATGTCTCATACACTGGTCACATAAGCAAGGATTTTGTGTGTGCAGTATACATGTGCTTGTGCACATGTATAAATGTGGGCTGTGCATGGAGGCCAGGGGCTGAGGCTGAGTGTCCTCCTCCATTACTCTGTAACTTATCCCTTGAGGCTTGGCCTCTCAGGTAACCTGGACCTTACCAACTGGACTAGACCTGCTGACCAGTAAACCCCAGGGATCTCCCAAACGAGGATTACAGGGGTGTAGCACCATGCCTCTCCTTCTTTTAAGTTCGTGTGTGTGTGTGTGTGTGTGCACGTGCACACAGTGCATATGTGTCATATGCATGCAGGTGTAGCCAATTCCTTGCAGTTGGAGTTACAGAAGTTATGAGTTCCTAGCTGTGGCTGCTAAGAACTGAACCCATCCTCTGGAAGAGCAGCAAGAGTTCTTAACCTCTGAGACAACCTTCCAGGCCCCGTGCCTATGTTTCATGTGGATGCTGGAAACCTGAACTCAGGACTTCATGCCTGCATGGAGAGCATGTTATCAACTGAGCCATCTCCCCAGCCCAGTATTCAAGGATTTTATGTAGTTTTTATGCTGGAAAAACCCTAACTGTAAGCCATGCTTATACTCTCCAGAGCTTGGGAGGCAGAGGCTGGAGGATTAAGTGTTCATGTCAGCTTCCGCTATGTAGTAAGTTTGAGGCCAGCTTGAATGGCAAGAAAACCTGTCTGTATCCTCCTACCAACCCGCAAAACCAAACTCCGTATGCTCTCACGTTTACAAAACCACCCTGAGGGTAAAGTACCTTGTCCTTTTCTCCAAAGAATGCACTGAGCAGGTCGGTTTTGGTTTTAGAGTCACACATCATGTAGGAAAGATAACACCTCTTCATGAGAATCAGTTTCAAAGCCAGGGAGATGAGTTCTTAGGAGGTTCTGAGGAATTTTCCTGTTCAGCGTTTTATCTATTGGTGTGATGATTTCAGGAAGTGACCTCCCCAAAGTCATCACTAATACATTCAGAAAGACAGTCAGGAGAACACACAAAAAAGGAACCAATTTGATATACTTAAACATCCTCAGACAAGGTTTCTAAAAAGTGAGAGACAGACTGAACGACAAAAGGACAGAGAAAAGTACCAGGATGAGTGGGTTGGATTTCTTCCGAATGTCCACGCCAGCCTCTGCGTTGTGGTAAATGTTGTTGCCAGCGATCAAGCCTCCACCCTCCAATCGAAGAAAGATGCCTGACGCCCGGCAGCGGTAAATGTCATTCCTGAGCATGACGATCTAAACAGGAGATGAAAAAAATTTTCTTTGGAGGGGAGGTGTCAAAGGGTGGTCAAAATCTACCAGAGGAGATGGTTTAGTGGGTAAATGAACTTGCTGGCAAGCCTGACAACCGAAGTTCAATTCCCAGGATAGTGGGAAGACAGAACCAACTCCCCAGAGACTCTGACCTCCACACGCATACACACACATGCACGAACACACACACACATACATTCACACACATATCACACACACATATCACACACACACAGACACACACATACCACACACACTACACACACATACATTCACACACACATACATTCACACACATACCACACACACACATTCACACACATTCACACATACATACCCTACACACACCACACACACATTCATACACACACACTCACACACACAGACACACATACCCTACACACACAGTGTTGTAATAATAACAAACCCTACAAGAACATGCAAGTCTTTACCTTCCCACATGGTCCCAGCAGTTCCCAGTTGGAAAGAGGGGTGCCTCTCTGTGCACCCCATTTTCCACTCTTGTTTCAGAGGACACAATCTCCCTATCCAGTGGGACACTGCCCTGAGGGCTGTTTACTTCACGCCAGAGCTTTACTAAAACTCAGAAGCCTGGGGCTGGGCTCAAGCCTCATAATAAATGATGGGATGGAGAGATGCTTACAGACCAAGAGCTCTTTGTTAGGTCTCAAACTCAGGACAAGGAGCTAACCGAGGTGCCTACTTTTATCTATCTATCTATCTATCTATCTATCTATCTATCTATCTATCTATCTATCTATTTTGATTTTTCAAGACAGGGTTTCTCTGTATTATTTTGGAGGCTGTCCTGGAACTAGCTCTGTAGACCAGGCTGGCCTCGAACTCACAGAGATCCGCCTGCCTCTGCCTCCCGAATGCTGGGATTAAAGGCGTGTGCCACCAATGCCCGGCCCGAGGTGCCTACTTAACATACCAAGTGGACCTGGCCACCAGGTTCTCCCAGCATCCCTCAGTTCCCAACTGTTACAGGATCCTTTTGGCTGGCATACCCTGCCCTCTACCCTAAACTTCTCCAGCCCAGAGGCTGGGATGCCCTTCCCCCAGCTGCCCTTCCCTATATAATCCAGACATTTTGGTTACCCAGCATTTTTTCCATTTTGGCCCACCCTGTACCCTCCTGGCCTCTTGGTCTCCTGGCTTGCCCCTCTCTCCTCATATGGTCCAACTCAGGGTCATCCTCACTGTGGACTCTCCCAGAGGTCTCTGCTCTCCCTGTTATCTACAATAAACTGTCCTTCCAGCATACCCAGGGGCAGGCATGTCCTTCCTGTTTCTTTCTTTCTTTTTTTCACTCATCTTCCAACTTCATGCTCTTGATCTTGCATTCAAAAAAAGTGTTAATGCAGCCCAGGCTGACCTCAAACTCACTCTGCCAGGAATCACAGCTATGTGCCATCGCTTCTGGCCAATGGCCAATTCTTAATTTAAAAATATTATTTAGAGCTGAGTATGGTGATGCATGCCTTTAATCCCACCACTGGGGAAGTAGAGAAGGAAGGTGATAGACTAAAGACCAGCCTGAGCTATACAGTGAAACTCTGTCTCAAACAAAAGACAAACGGAAAACCAAAAGTGGTTAAGGGAGAATATTTAAAACCAAAAACATTAGTTAAGTGATGGGGAAATGGCTTAGTCAGTAAAGTGCTTGCTGCATGGATAAAAGGACCAGAGCTCAACCCACACCTGCACATACACACACATATACAAATTCGTTTTTGTAAGAAAAATGCCTGTTCCTGATAACTATGCATTTTCTTGGTATAGTTACTAGTATACAAAAAGTACTGAAACTCCAAACGGTCATGGGATAATCTTTTTGTACACTGTGAAGATGTGTCTCTGCCTAAGGCACTGATTGGTTTAATAAAGAGCTGAATGGTCAATAACTAGGCGGGAGAGGTTAGGCAGAAAGAGGAACTCAGGACAAATCTAGGTGGGAGGAGATGCCAGTGAGACATGGACATACAAAATAAAAGAGAGGGGGAAAAGCCACATGGTGGAATGAAGATGGACAAAAGCTGATTAAATTATAAGAGCGAGTTAAGAACAAGTCTAAGTTAAAGGCCAAGCTTTCATAATTAACAATAAGTCTCCATGTCATTATTGGGAAGCTGGCGGCCGACATAAAGACTTCCTACAGTTGGAGCCCCATGTGAGGCACGTAAATCCGCATATGGCCCGAGAAAGCTAAAAAAAAAAAAAAAAAGATTCTGAACGCAGAGTTAGAAGTGGCTCCCTGGCATCTGCAGGCTCCTTTAAGAGGCCCTGCTATGTAGCAGAGCACTTGAATGGGACACTACCAGCAGGAGACTACTACAGAGAAACTGTCTGCTGCAGCGTGGACACAGCAGCTTCCCAGACCTGGGCAAAGTGGACCCAAAGTGGGTGGAGCCAGCCGCCAGCCACCATCGCCATTTGCTAAGCTAGCTGTACAGCAAAGGACCTAGCAGGTTAAGTTTTGGTTTATGCAGTCAGAGAAACAGTGTAGATGAGCAAAAAACAAAAACAAACAACAACAAACCTCCAAACAAACAAGAAAAAATAACTAACAACAAAAACCAGGTCTTGGTGGAAAAAAAACTTCCAAACAGGTACTTCAAAATGTGCTTAGATATTGGAGGGGGAAAAAAAGAAGAGAAAATGGGTATAGACAATCAAAGAAAAAATAATTTAAAACTAATGTAGTTTTTTTAAAAGTAAGGTAATATAAAAGGAATAAGGCACATAATGATGGAAAATGCACAAGGCATCTGGCTCCTGTATGTTGCTTTGTTGACTTTGAATTTGTTGAATGCTGATGAAAGAAGGACAAACACTGCTGGAAGACATTAGGTGTAGACCAAAACCGTTAAATTAAACCAGCCTTTATATTTAAGGATGCCTTAAATTCAGAGTAGAAGTCAGGAAATGTGTTAGGGGAGACATTATGCCTTTGTTTCCATGGGAAATGAAAAGCTGTGGATTCCTTCAAAATTAATAGGCCTCAGATTTGATCAGGGGAGACCTCCTGAAATCTTGGCTGCAGACACAAAGGAAGAAACCAAGAAAAACTATGAGAGGTGACATATACGCTAATCCCTCTACATAGTAACAGCTGAGACTAGATGACACCCCATGACTTGCTTGCCAACTTTTTATATGGCATGGATGGAGATTTATATTACAGCTTGGTTATGGAGTTAAAACAGACTTATAAAGTTGACAGATGCCTTTTACCTACTCAAATAGAAAACAGAAAATAATATTTAGCATACTTCCATACTTGTGTTAATGGAGATATGTACATTGTCTTTAAAAGTTTGTGTGTTTTCAGAAGAAAAAAAGAACCAGAAACCAATGGAGACAAGTAGCCCAGGTGACCCAGGTGACCCAGGTGACAACTTCAAAGCTGCTGGCTGAGATGGTCCAGCCTCACAGACCAGTCTCGCCAGGACTTCAGATAAGCTCTGCACTTTCCCATTACATAGAAACTGGGACAACAAATGATCATGCTAGCTCTCCCAGGACTTGACCATTATTCCAATTTTCTCAGGGTCCCCTAAAGATACCATCACATCCAGGCAACAGGAAACAATCTAGAGAATTGACGCCCACATTCCCAAGATGGGGTGAGTGACTTTTGGTCATTTAGTGGGTTATGGATGTTTATCATCATTTAGAGGGTTAGTTACAAGTTGTTATTGGTCATGGTCAGGAAAAAAACTAAACAAAGGAGATTAGATTCAGGGATCCCTTTCTGAAGAGAAAATGGAGGGTGGGTGTAAGGACTCAGGCGCTATGCTGGCCTGCCCTTGTCACCTGGCAGAATGCACTCGGGCAGGACCCTGGTCAGCCCAGGGTTCCATGAGTTCTAGTCTGCACGCAGATGCAAAGGACCCCTTTAAAAGACAGACCTCCACCCGCTCACGGTCTTTTTCTGGCTCTGTTCTCTGTCGGGCTCTTCTCTCTCTGCCCTCTTCTCTTTCTGCTCTTTTCCAGCTCTCTTCCCATTCTCTCCTTCTCACGGTTCCCCTGGGGCAGACAGGAGTTTTCCTGTCTCCCTCTTCTGCCCTTTCCTCTGTCCTGTCTCTGTCTCTTTACCTCCTTTCTCTTTCCTTCCCCCCCCCTCCCCTTTCTAATGAAGCTCCTCACTAAGTTCTGTCTTCTTGGCGTGTTTGTCCCCCACCTGGGTCACCCTTGCCTGCCATGGTCCCCCCATGCAAGGACCCTCTCGAGCTTTATCCTAACAGTGGGGATATAGGAATGAATGAATAAAGTATTTTACATTGGTACGGATATGGGTAAATTGATAACCATAAAATATAAGGTTATTTTTGTTAGAACATGTTTCTACTTTTGTTTAAGGTATTATACCTATGTAGCTCATTTAATAAATGTAAAGTTCTAGTCCTTGAAAGCTATTACTATCAACTATTTAAAATAACTAAAAAGTAGAGGTCAGTAGTTAGTCATCTATAACAATCAAGCTTAGTCATATTAGGTATGTTTTCAATGTCTGAGATATATTTTAGATAGATAGATGGTCTACAAACACTTCAGAGATCCACAGAATATGGCATTTAAGATGTTTTAACATTTAATAACTTTTCATGATAGTGAGACACGTCTGCTCCTGGAAGCACCAATTTTCTTTCATTGTGACAAAGTTATCCATTGGGCAAGAAACTGCACTTGCCTCAACTGCTGACAGTATGCTGTCCAAATTAGACAAGCAGGACACAAAAGAAGACAACTGTCAAACTTTGCCAAGACAAGGTAGGCCAGTCTTCCAAACTTCCTACTTCACAGAAAAGTCAGATATCCTAGGCCTTTAGGCCAAAGATGGATGCCCCAATGTTGCAGAGGCACCTTGGGTGACTGTCTAGACAGACAGATGTTTCCATTGTTTGTAGAGTTTTGGAAGTTGCTTGCTCTGCACCTCCTGTTTACCCAGGTAATAT